TTCAAAGTTTATAAGTAATTCTATATGTTTTTGCTATAATATTATATATAAAAAATTTAGATGCAAATAAGTGTAACAAATTGGTTGACTGATATATAATCAACTTTTTTTTTAAATACAACTTTTTTAAATACAACTTTTCTAAATGCAACTTCTCTAAAAGCAACTTTTTTAAGTGCAACTTCTCTAAATACAACTTCTCTTCAAATGCAACTTTAACTTTGAACCCAAGTATATGTTTAGTTTTTATAAATTTTTTATAAATATAATTTTTTTAATTGTTTTCTAAATACATATTGCTAAAAGTCCAGTTCTAATGAGTTGTACTTAGAGAGGTTGACTATATATATTAATGTTACAGAAATCTTTTAAGTTTAAAAAACAAATTTTACTTATTCAATCTTTAAATAAGCAAACTTTAAATTATTTATTTAAATTGATAAACCAAATTATTATAATTGAAGCATTAAGTTCTTTGTTTTAAATTACTAATTTTGCATATATAAATTCATAGTCATTTGTCTTTTTTTAGCAATACTATTTCTAACTACATCTTTTTTAAAACTATTTAATTTTTAAACAAAAGATCCATCTACTTTAAATCTGTTTTCTTGATCAATAAAATGCAAAATATTATTAATGTTTGTAATAATTTCTTTATAAGAAATACAAACTTCAGGTTTCTTTTTATCATCTTCATTGCAGTCATGATCAAGTATAGCAGTAATTATTTCATTATCACTAGGTATTATATCTGTTTTAACACTATAATTGGCCTCAATAAAATTTTTTGCTTGCATTGGGTTAGTTACAGGAAGCTAACTGATTAAAAACCAAATTTCTGTTACAAGATCAGTATGATTTATATTCTATAATTCTTGTGATTTTGGTAAGGTAAGATCAACTAACTCAAAATCCTCTATTAGTTTTTGGGTAGTTGGTAAAAGATCATTCAAAGAAAAATAATTATCTGAAAGAATTTCAGTTTTAATCCAACAATTACGAATCGTACTATGCTACTTTGCCAAATCTAACCATCGTGCTACTTGCTCTAAGTCTAATTACTATGCTACTTGTTCTGAATCTAGCTACTGTGCTACTTGTTCTGAATCTAACTACCATGCTATTTGTTCTAAATCTAACTATTATGCTATTTTTTCTGAATCTAACTATTGCAATAATACTGTAAAAAGGCATAG